AATATCTTTAAAGCCTGACTGCGGTTGCCAACTCTCCTGGCAAGCGTGGTAACTATTGGCAACGCTTGGCAACTACTAGCAAAGCCCCAAAGGGGGAGGCTTATGTCCAACAGTGGCCAGTTAAAGTCTGATATGATAAATAAAAAGGTGATAACTCAACGTACTGTAATTCCTATATTACTTGTTCTTCAAAAGGGGGGTAAAGAGGTTTCTTCAGCGCGTATTTCGCCCTGGTATTGCAGGTGTTCATAGGCTACGGTAACCACTTACCAGCAGATGGGCTGTATGCTTTTTTGCCACCTCAATGGTATAAAAACTTGTGAAAGTTTGTAAGAATATAATGTATGTTTAAATGTTAGGAGTTTTTTATTCTATTTCATATTAAACGGCTGAGCTGAAAAAATACGTAATGCAAAGTATAGGGCGATAAAGAAAAGGGTGGGAATGTTGCAGACGCCTGTTAGTTACTCGCCTGGTACTGCTCATGTCTAGGCGACGGTTACCACTTTCCATCAGGTGCACCGTCAGCTTGTTTGCCATTCTAAGTTGTATTATATATATATATATATATATATATATATATATATATATATATATATATATATATATATAATTTTTTTAAATAAAAATAACTGGTTTTTACCACAATTGAGTTGGTTGTTTGTCGTGAAACAAAACTTTTGTATTGTGCCCAGAACGAACCTGTGACCATAACTTAAATGTTGATAAACAGACTTCTAACGTGTTATCGTGTATTTCTAGCTAGCTATTATATTATACTACCAAACAACATACGGTCACCCTTAGGGGGGAAACGGATTGTCAGCAATGGAGTTTGACAGCCCCATTGCTAGCAATATGCCTTATTAGGTCGACCTCCACGCGTTTCCCCCTGGAAACCATCGTGAATAATTCTTGTTGAATTCGTCACGATCGGCTAACTGACCTATTTCATCCTCACCTATCATCCTTCACTGGTGCCCCGCCGGTATGTATATATCGGTATCGATAGCGCGGGTGGAGTTACCATTACATTATTAACCATTAAAAAAAAAACATACGGTCACCCATCCAAGTAGTGACCGTTCTTAACGTTGCTTAACCTCATTGATCGATTAGTTCGTGAGCGCGTGTCTGCGTGTAAAAATATAAATATGACATGATCATTTCTACAATTGGTTCTGATAAATTGGATATAAATTCTTGACCTTATAACTTGCTTATCAGGCACACTGGACCGGTATTTAGGCAATAGGCCAATTATAGACCACTAGGTAACATTTGTGACTTCATCCCGATGATAATTTGATGACTTCACGTGCCCTCTGGCTTCTGGCTACGTCTCTGTTGAATTTTATACACATACTAGCTGACTCGGCGAACGTTGTTTTACCATATACATTATTTCGAGAACTATACATGAAAATTTATCGTACTACAATTATTATATTGGATTGCCATCTTGCAACCCTATTGCAGTATATAAAAATCGCGATTAAAAAACAGGGGTTGATCGTAAAACGGTGAAAATTTGAGGTTGTATCTATTATTCAATGCTAAATCATAATAAAATTAAAATAAAAAAATTGTCGAAAAAATAACAAAAATTTTTTTTGGGGAGGGTCTCCCTTATCATTGAGGGGTATGAAAAATAGATGTTGGCCGATTCTCAGACCTATCCAATATGCACACAAAATTTCATGAAAATCGGTAAAGCCGTTTCGGAGGAGTTTCGTAACAAACACCGTGACATGAGAATTTTATACATTAGATATACAGTTTTTTTTTTATTTTTTATTGATGGATGATAATGGAATGGTAACGCCTGCGGTATTGGTATACACAGAGGGAGACTTTGCACAAAAGTCGATTACTTGGGTACCTTTGTCCCATTCATGTTTTTACCGTGAAGCAGTTGTGTTTGCATGTCTGTGTTTCGGTTTGAAGGGTGCGATATGGCCTGAATTTACAGGGTACAGCTCTTGACACTAACTGACCTGCCTTCTCATTCTCATCTATCACCCTTCACTGGTGCTCCGCCAGCGTATCCCGTTAGCGCAGGCGGGGTTACCATACCATTATCATGTATTAAAACACTCCCGGATACAGATTTTCTATTATTAATGGAACATTAATAGAACGATTTTTATTTATACAACTTAGAATGGCAAACAAGCTGACGGCCCACCTGATGGAAAGTGGTAACCGTCGCCTATAGACATGAGCAAGTACCATGGACATAATAGAGTATACTGTTTCGCCCATGATACCCCCATGCGTTGCCATTCCTGAGGACTCGGGTGTTATTCCTCTGTACTCAGTAAATTCACCTTTTTCCACTCATGTCCCTTTGCTAAAAATGTCCACTTTTACTAGTAAATTTTAGTATATTACATAAAAAATATGTAATTCTATCCTGAAGGTGTACATTATGTTTTTCATGTATGTGTTAATAAAGGCAATATTTCGACCATTTTCACAAATATTAAGCTCGGTTAATGTAATTAAAATTCAGCGTTATCGCTGACCTCGGAATGATGTCACCAGCCAAGGTCGGGTCGGGTCTATTGGCCGCCATTACGAATCATAAACAGAAGTGATCGCTATTGCTATCACATTGTTACTGTTTCGAACTGCGATAATAGAACAAGTATCTGGCGCCGTGAAATAATAAAAAATATCAAAATGGCGCGAAATAAAATTAAGTATCGAAATAATGGCGCGAATAGTATTTTTAATTGTTTGTCGTGTTTTTTTTTATGGGTTTATGGCTCGGTTTTATTACAATACAGCCTAAAGTCGTGTTGAGTATTGACAAATACTATTAATAAGAAAATACTGTCATGTGTAATGGGATTTTAATAATTTTATGGAATTATAATTGTTATTATTATATAATTAATATTAGAACTTGCTTAAAGATTAAAAAAAGAAGAAATTTTCTGCCTGCAAATTTTGTGTTAGGACCACATGGCTGTGGTGTTGTAAGACTAAGGGAACTTAATGGTCTCCCTTATAAAACATCACCAGAACCTAACTACAGTTGCCAATCCGCCTGCCAAGCATGGCAACTACTGGCAAAATCTCCCAATAAAGGGATGTTCAGCAGTGGACAGTTAATGGCTAATATGACATAATAGCTTAAAGCATAAAGGCTTACGATATTTTTGCTATTTGCTGGTTTTGATAATTATTTTTGTATTGGTTAGGATTTTTGTTTTAAGACCTAATAGTCTCATTTAATTACTATACATATTTATAGTACCTGTACTAAGTCAGACCTGATCATTAGTTGCGAAATAAAACCTTAAGTTATTTTCCTGTCACTTTCGCAACACATTTCAATAATAAAATTATGCCAAATACTATTGTACAGGGAGAACGGGATTATTAGTAATGGAAACTAAAAATTCCATTGCGAGCAATATACCCAACCAGGTCGACCTTCTCGTGGTTTGCCTGGAAACTATCATGGTTAATTCCTGATGAATTCATCATGATGCGCTAACTGGCCTGTTTTCATTCTCATCTATAACCCTTCACTGGTGCTCCGCCAGCGCATCCCATTAGCACAGGCGAGGTTACCATTCCATTTTCACCCATCAAAAAAAAACTATTGTACATGTATATGTATAACAAATTTCATGATAATTGGTTGAGTGTTAAGTCGTCAAAAAGATTACGTTCCACAAAAAAATCGACTTCAATTATAGTAAAACCAGTTATTTTGATTTATTACTGAATCGATTTAGATAAAAAAAACCTATGGGATCAATATCTATCTCTCTATTTGGGAAATTCATTTTTTTTATTTGAAAGGATATACTATCCTTTCAAATAAAAAAAAAGAATTTCCCAAATCGGTTTACAACTGACGGGAGTTACAAGTACCCCTTCTTTTTGAAGTCGGTCAAAAAGGAGGAAGTCATCAATTCGTTTTATATATGTCAAGAAATATCGATCATTTCTGAATTGATTTATTAAGGATATTTTTTTTATTTTTGTTACTTTCTACGTTTATTGTTCAAAGCAATATTTTATTCGATACGTAATAAGTGACAGCTCGTCGACTCACCGATTTTGAAACTGGTCTCACGTTCTAGACTAGACATGGCGACCTCTGTCGGCAGTAAGCACCTACTGATTACGCATGTCTGGAATTAGATAATTTGCATTAAAAATGATAAATAAAACGTGCTAAACTGTTTCAAAAACATTTATATTTGTTTTATTTTTATTGTTATATTTGTTTGTGTTGCTTTGAGTGATTTCTTTGTATATTATTTAGTTGTATAGTACATTTAGAGAAGATTGCTTAAATTTTAACTAGATGGCGTTGTTTTTTTTTTTTAATGTGAGAATGGAACAGTAACCTCGTCTGCGTTATCGGTGTATTTTTTTTATGTATGAAAATGGTATGGTAACCCTGTCTGCGCTAACGGGATACGCTGGCGGAGTACCAGTAAAGGGTGATAGGTGAGAATGATAGCAGGCCAGTTAGCCCATCATGATGAATTCATCAGGAATTAACCATGATAATTTCCAGGGAAAACCGCGAGGAGGTCGACCTGGTTGGGTATATTGCTAGCAATAGGATTCTCAGTCTCCATTACTAACAATCCCTTTCCCCCCTGCCGGAGAGTTATTGAAATTAACATACAAAATGTTTGATGTCAGCTTTTTAGATTTTAACTTACTAACTTTGTGGTTTACATACCGTTTTAACGGTTTAACCAATAGTAAAAAAGTTTATCCTAAACGTAGATGTTGACCTATTTGGTACGGAGAAGAATATAGCCAAATTTTTATTTTAGACGATCAACTTAATTCTGATCACGTGAATCAAGTCGCTGGCAAAAACTTAATAAATAAATATATACTATTGAACATACACAGCGTTGGGGGTCTGTTTTTATTCCCCATATACTAAAATCGTTTTTCACAATAACTTTAATTAGTTTTTTAACAGAGCATTTAACAATCCGTTTTTATTGTTTCAGGATTACGAATCAACACGCCACTGAAAGTAATGCATTACGGAAGACTATTCAGTTATAGAAATCACGATTGAATACGAACGAACGAATTCCTATTAAAAAAAACGGCTTCTAACAACGTTATAATGTGTTCAACTGTTGATATTAAGTGATATTAACGGTCTAAAACTTTATACGCTATTTAGCTAATAACGGTTATTTTTAATCAGCTAATAACAGTTATTGTCAACCTGCTAATAACGTTATGTTAAAAAAGCAGCTACAAGTTTAGAGCGAGACAGAGCTACGTTCCAGAAATAGTGTGTTCGAAAATAGAGGAAAAATGTCGAGCTCACAGTCAGTGAGGGACAGTGAGGCGGCGGGGAGTAACGCCGCTCGATGGTGGCAGACACCATGGAAAGCCATGGCTGACTTAGCCGAAGCAGTTGACGACCTTATATGCAGCTTCGACTATATGGACACAGCCATGGACAACTTAGTGATGTTGATATTCATATGGGTATTATTCTCAATCGTGCTCCTGGGTATAGCGAAATGGGCGTACAGCAAGTTCAGCCAGAAACCAGCGGAGGTGGAGGCGAAACCGTTGAAAACGAACGACGAGAAGAAGACAGCGAACGAAATAATCACCAGTGCTGATAGTGTGCTGGCGACCAGTGCTAAAGTTAAAAGTGGTGCGTTCAAACCCAGTAAGCCGAGTGGCTTCGTGCCCGCCACTCCGCCGAACAAGAAGCGGCTAGGCCGTATGTCCCCCGGTCCTGAGCAGTTGAATTTAAAAAAACACCAAAGCATCATAGTGCCGACGTGCACGGGCCCAGACCCGCCGAGTGTGCAATGGGTTAATGAACTATTAACGTGGTTATATAATGATCTTGTTATTGTGAATGAGCTTGTGCAGCAATGGATTGTGTCCATGAACGAGTTTTCCAAGAAGTCCGTTGAAGAGGTAAGTCTATGATTGTTATGGTCGTAATAGTTCTTTTTTTAAATACATTGTCTATTATTTTTGTCTATTGCTCCATGCTTGCTATGTACGCGCGGATGACAGAAGTAGGAAATTCAATGATATAAACATTCTAGATGGCGTATTAAAATAAAACTTTCATTAGTTTATAAGTTAAACCTTCAGGAATGAAACAGTGACAATCTAACTCAATTTAATGCAGTAGTTTTAACATAAACAGAATTTCTAATAGTCATTGATTTAACAACGATTGCCTCTATTAAAACCCCTTTATATTGGGGGGAAAGGGATTGTCAGTAATGAAGACTGAGAATCTCATTGCTAGCAATATACCCAACCAGGTCGACCTCCTCGCGGTTCCACTTGGAAACTATCATGGTTAATTCCTAATGAATTCATCATGATGGGCTAACTGGCCTGTTTTCATTCTCATCGATCACCCTTCACTGGTGCTCCGCCAGCGTATCCCGTTAGCGCAGGCGGGGTCACCATTCCATTTTCACCTATAAAAAAACAACCCCTTTATATTATTATTTTTTAAATACCTTCCATGTAAAGATAATGTCCAACTACAAGTTTATTAGAACAATAAGATAAAATTGGCCATTTGGTCTATCGGTTTAACACATCGCCTCGCCTTCCAACGGTCGTAGGTTCGATCCCTGATCGAGACAAACATTTATATTTATTATGAGTAGCAACTTTTTTTATATTAGTATGTGTATTTTAATGGATGATAATGAAATTGTATATTTCCGTCTGTGCTATCGGTATACACTGGCGGGGCACCAGTGAGGGATGATAGGTGAGGATGAAAACAGGTCAGTTCGCCCATCGTGATTAATACACCTGGAATTGGGGGGAAAGGGATTGTTAGCAATGGAGTTTGACAGCCCCATTGTTAGCAATTTGCCCTATTAGGTCGACCTCTACGTGGTTACCCCTGGAAGCCATCGTGAACAATTCTTGTTGAATTCGTCACGATGGGCTAACTGACCTGCTTCATCCTCACCTATCACCCTTCACTGGTGCTCCGCCAGCGTATCCCGTTAGTGCAGGCGGGGTTACCATACCATTTTCACCCATAAAAAAAAAGACCTGAAATTCGGCACGATGGTTTGCAGGGGCGACCATGTTGAGATCTACCTGATAGGGTATATTGCTAGCAATGGGATTCTCAATCTCCATTACTAACAATCCCTTTCCCCCCTCTACAGCGTATTTCTCATCATTTCCAATGAAAAGGGTGCTATGTTGACATTGCATTTTAAAAATAACGTTGAAATAAGCAGCTAGCTGACAAGGTTGTTTATTATTAAACGAAAAAGTTCCTTTATTTTTTTGTCACGAACCTAAAATTGGTATGCACCTTAATTAAATAATATTACAGTTCAAATTCGTTCAACACATGATTTTATGCGTATACAAAAAAAACAAATGCAGATACGATAATTACATATGCAAATTTAAACCTTATTCCAATGCGTGTAAGTTGAAATCATGCAACGGGTATGTTTACAACGGAACTATTGATCCACCACGCAGATTAATAGGTCAGTGCAAATAAAAATCTAGCTCAAGAACGATCTATATTCTTGATAATGGCCGCTAACGAAATTGGAATGCTAATAAAATTAATAATAGTTCAAAGGAATTGAAAATCATATTACTTTACACTTGTAAAAAAAATTTTTTTTATACAACTTAGAATGGCAAACAAGCTGACGGTCCACCTGATGGAAAGTGGTAACCGTCGCCTATACACATGAGCAGTACCATGGACATAACAGAGTATACTGTTTCGTCCATGATACCCCCATGCGTTGCCATTCCTGAGGACTCAGGTGTTATTCCTCTGTACCCTGTAAATTCACGCTCGTATATCTCGTGCTGGTGGAGGTGTTTTTTTTTTTCAAAATTTGTACCACCTTTAACCCATTAATGAGATGAGACCGTCTTCTCGCTTACGTAAAATTTACACGCGATGACTCAAAATAATTAATCATCTTGGGCACCTCTGTCCTATTCGTGTTTCTACTGTGAAGCAGTTGTGTTTGCATGGCTGTGTTTGGGTTTGAAGAGTGCAATATGGCAATGAATTTACTGGGTACAGAGTAATAACACCTGAGTCCTCAGGAATGGCAACGCATGGGAGGTATCACGGGCGAAACAGTATACTCTGTCATGTCTATGGGCGACGGTTACTACTTTCCATCAGGTGGGCCGTCGGCTTGTTTGCCATTCTAAGTTACATAAAAAAAAACAAAATTATAGTAATTCGAAATGGTACTCGATAAAGGATCATTTACTTTTATAGTTTTACAAGGGGCACTTGATAATTCAATGGTTTAATGCACTGTTACTTTGTAATATATCTAGAGCGTAGCTTACTTTAACCTAGTTGACAGTTGACCTCTCGATGTACCGGATCTTTCTGCAGATAAACCTAAGTTACGTAGTAATTGTACATTTAACTATGTAGTAATAGCTATTTATAGAAATGAATGAATATTACCTCATACCTTAAATTAGCAGTTTTTTTTCAAAGTCTCAAATAAAAGTACCTCAAAGTTTGAAGACGTACCAGTGCGTATCAGGACGTGAAGGAACTGTTAGGAATGTAGACTACAAGTTCTATTGCTAGCAATATGCCTTGTCAGGTCGACCTTCACGTAGTCCTCCCTGAAAACCATCGTGCTGATTCCAAGTGTATTCATCACGATGTTCTAACTGACTTGCCTTTTAATTCTCACCTATCATCCCCCACTGGTATACCGTTAGCGCAGGCAGGTTTATAATTCCATTATCATTCATTATAAAAATAAAAAAAAAACAGTGCGTGTTGCCAGTGATGACTTATGGAACCGAAACATGGTCCTACACGTTTGCCTGTTTGCAACGTGTAGGACCATGTTTCGGTCCGCTTCAAATTACTTAGCGAGCTATGGAGAGGGCTATGTACCGAGTTTCTATGGTGACAGAATCCGAAACAAGGATATCCGCAAAAGAACCAAAGTAACCGACATAGCCCGAAGGATAAGCAAGCTGAAGTGGCAATGGGCTGGTCATGGCTATATATGGTAATGGCATAGCTCAAAGAACCGACAATCGATGGGGAAGAAAGATTTAATTAAAGGGGAAATTTAAAGGCTTATGGCAGGACAGATAATGGCTATGTATAATATATATGTATATATATATATATATATATATATATATATATATATATATATATATATATATATATATATATATATATATATATATATATATATATATATATATATATATATATATATATATATATATATATATATATATATATGCGGATAAATGCCCAGATCGGCAAATTTTAGTTAAAACATGCGTTAAACAACATAAATGTAGAAACATATAGAATAATATACTTACAAAAATTATACATACATAAATCACATACAACAATACAATATATAAATAATTATATATATTAATATAATAAATATATAAGTCAAAACTAAGAAAAAAAGTAATTAGTCTACATACTGGCTGGATAATGAATATGTTACGTCTTATATTCAATATTTAATATGTTGAAATAGAGATAAAATTGAATGCATATCCTTGTTTTGATGTATGTATGAATATATATATATATATATATATATATATATATATATATATATATATATATATATATATATATATATATATTCATACATATATATTAAAAGTAATGTTGATGTGTATATTTCTTACATGTGTATTTCTTTTGTACTGTGTATGCTTTAATGTGTTACTATAATTGTCATGTTTTTTTTTCTCGCTTTCTGTTTTTACCTGATGGTTAGCTGGTAGAGAATGCCATATGGCATTAAGCTCGCCATTTGTACAAAATTTTATTGTGCAATAAAGAATAAATAAATAAATCTAATGTCGAAATGAAGACTCCGCTCGCAATTAATATAGATATCCGAGCTTTATTTCTATCAAGGTCCAGACGAATCCAATACGAGTATATAGTGAGGGAGCGAGACTTTGTACAAAAGTCGATTGCATAGATACCTCTGTCCCATTCGTGTTTTAACCGTAAAGCAGTTGTGTTTCGGTTTGAAGGGTGGGATATGGCGTGAATTTACAGGGTACAGAGGAATAACACCTGAGTCCTCAGGAATGGCAACGCATGGGGGATATCATGGGCGAAACAGTATACTCTGTTATGTCCATGGTACTGCTCATGTCTATAGGCGACGGTTACCACGTTTCCATCAGGTGGGCCGTCAGCTTGTTTGCCATTCTAAGTTGTATAAAAAAATATAGATATTAGTGCGGTATTGATATTACTCATACTTCTGTATAAGTGTTTTTTTTTTTTAATTTAATGGGTAGAAATGGAATGATAACCCCGCCCGCGCTATCGGTATACACCGACGAGGCACCAGTGGAAGATGATAGGTGAGAATGAATGCAGGTCAGTTGGCCCACCGTGATGGATTCGACAAGAATTAACCATGATGGTTTCCAGGGGGAACTGCGTGTAGGTCGACCTGAGAGGGTATATTGCTAGCAATGGGGCTATTAGACGTCATTACTAACAATCCCTTTTTATTATTTTAACTCGTATGCGTCTAGGTCACGTATGCACACCTTCTCATTTGTACAAGCTTGGTATTGTACAAACTTCGTCGTGTAATTGCGGTGCCGAAGTGGCGGACTTGAATCATATATTTTTCTCATGTTCTAAATTTGACCACACCTCCCTTTTTAATCATCTCCGATTCATCCGTGTTCCATTCCCAACTTCTATTCTTATTCTACTTTCTTCCAATGATCCTATTATTTATAAAATACTATCCTCATATATATATATATATATATATATACATACATATATATATATATATATATATATATGTATGTATATATATGATAACAATATTAAGATTTAGTTATATTATATGAATACATTTATAGTTGCATCAATTGCTTTTCCTATATATTTA